TTGGCACTCCAGCTAGAGGTATTTATAACCAATCGTTTAAAACCACAGCATAACCAAAGAACATTTTCTTCTTTTCCCCTCTTCCTTCCCCAAAAGGGATGAATGTGTTTCTGTTCTTGAAATTCTAATTCTGTGAAGTGACAGGTTGAAGAAAGCAGTAGTGAAGGACATGGATGCTCGCAGAGCCTTGTATCTTCAAGTCTGCTTTTCGAACTGCTCTTCAGTGGAGGTTTTGCAAACAGATCCATAATGTACTGCTGATCCTTGCACATTTGGCATAACTAAAGAGGATCAGAGGTAGCCTGTATAAGGCTGCAGAGCAATGCTTACTGTGTTCCAGGGATAATGGAGTCAAGGTCTGTGACTGGGATTTTTTCAGATTGCATGGCCCTCTGACACTAATCTTCTGAGATGCCCAAGTTTAAGAAATCGGAGTTGGCTTGAAACGCCACAAATTCCTGGTTCAAGTTTTTTTTTTCTCCTATGTATCTTTGTAAGAACTTCTGGGATGGCAGAGAGGGCGAGGCTAACCAGTTCTTTCTCAAGCAAGTTGATGAAGGGTTTGTTGGTTTTACCAAATGAAACACCGCTTATTCCTTTCTGTTCTCACGGTCAGTACGAGGCAAACGAAAGGCCTGCTTCCGATGGAGACTAAACAGCAGACGTAGCAAGAGTTGAGAATTTCAGTATAGGAAATGTAAATTGCTAAGTCCAGTTGGAAAAGTAGAGGCTATACTCCAGTAGATCCTGTGGAAGTCAGTCCAAACTAGGCATCTATGACGACTCTTTGAGCTGAAGCTTGCAAGTGATGCAGATGGGAGGTTGCAGGGCAGCAAGGAGGCAAAGTGTGCTGGATAGGCGCTGCTGGCTGGCCAGGAGCCAGGCATTGAGTGTTATGCGGCACTAAGCTGGAGCTGTGCCAGGCCTGGTGTTCTGAATGGAGTGAAGAGCGTAGCTGCACTGCCAAAGTCTGTGCTCAAGGGCTTTTGCTTCAGTGGCCAGGCGGTTAGCTGGATGCATCATCAGGCAGATGAACCACGGCAATGAAATATCTACCTGGCTTTAGGCTGCTCAACACAGACTATAACCTGCGGCTAGAGACTGCTAGAGGCAATTAATGCCTAATAAAAATGTTCAGAGTGAACTTTTCAAAGTCCAAAGTCCAAAATAAGAGTAAGATAGCTCATGAGTCTTTGCAGGCGTGCAAGACTCCATTAGTGCAAGAACAGAAAGAGGACAAATCATCATCAAGGCAACCATCAATGAGCTCTGTCTTAAGTTAATAAGGATCACGGAGCTGTGGATGACTAAGGAGAACATTAGGGGCCATAAACTGAGAGGCTGGTACGTACTATACCCAAAACGGCTTGCAAGAAGTTTTATGGGTACCATATGGCAAGGACTAAAAGGACAGAGTACTGCCAAACAGAAAGCTGGGGGGAGAAGGGGAGAAGCTATCCTATTCTTTAAACCGAACATAGGCAGACGTGAGCCAGAATTCCCCAGTGTTAAAGCATTTGTCTTTTGAATCTGAAGTATCTTGTTCCTTTTGATGCAGGTATACTCATCAGGGTGGGGGTTAGGATAAAAAAAAGACAATACAGGATTTTTGGGGACCCGATGTTAAAAGGAGCTGTAAGAAATAGAAAAATTGCTTAAAGGAAAAACTAGAGCAAACTGATTAGCTCCAGATACCCTTAAGAAGGAGCAGTGGTATTTAATGCAGATGGATGAAAACATGGGAGACATCACAGTTCCCCCTCTGTAATAAGAGGGAATTCTTAAGTGTGTCTATAACCACTAGGGAAGTGGATGGATCCTCACAGATGTAGAACCAAACCTCTCTGAGCGTAAGAGGGGAAGCAGTCAGAGACTGTTGTTGGGCATCTGGAAAAGTTGGGCTCTTCCTGGCTTAATTTCTCAACTCCTACAGCTAGATCTATTCACTCAGACAGTTTTACACAGGACTATCAGGAAAGCCGGATTAGTCCGTAAGGGGTGTGGGGGAAGATGCTGTAGTGGTACTGGATAGCCTCCTGAGTTCCCTTCCCACCTGCATTATTTTAGATCTTATGATACTGAAAAGCTGTAAGTTGTAATGTAAAGAGGACCCGTATTACTAGTAAATGATCACGTTTCACTTCCTCAACATGAGATTTGTCTTCCGATGAAACAACTGGAAAATGTGATGTTTGAAAGCAGACAAATTACAGAATTATGTCTTAATACTTCTGGCGCTGAGGTGTAGATGCTGGAGCTGACAATTGCTGGAGCGTAATGCCGTATCAAAAGGGAACATATACTTGTGCTGAGTCTACATATCAGCAACGTATACAGCGCCAGCTCTAGCAGCGACAGAAGCAGAGCAGCGCAGACTTCTTGAGCTCTGCTGCTAAGAGGAAAAACTGTCTGTGCTGCTGCCCATTTTTAATTCAGTTAGCCCTATGGCTCCAGGGAAAAAAGCCATAAGGGCAGAAGGTCACCTCTTGGACAACACAGTCAGCAGCAGGTGAAGATGAGCAGGAAATAGCACGGTACGGAACTGGAAGAACTGTGCGGGAGTACAGCAGAGTCTCCGTAACAGAGCCAAGAGGCACTGAGCCACAGGTCGTGCACACCCACAGGAAGCGTTGTCAGCTGCCCTTCTTCACTTACGTCTTAGAGAATCATGATTGCTGTTATTATGCACCAATAAGTGTATCTTCCAGAAGCATGAGATGATTTGCCCAATTAACTCTAAAACAGCCCCGCCCGCAACCCCAAATCACTGTGATCTTTTAACTTCCAAAGCCGTTACAAGCCTGATGAAGAGGAGAACGTGAGATGGTCACCAAGCTGCTTACCACAGTTAACCTTACTAGAAGTAAGGAAGTTTTTACGTTACTCTTGAACTCTTAAATAGATCACAGATACTGATAATCCTGCATGAGCTGCAATACCTTCAATGAAATTTTATATATAGGAGGTTTTTCTTCTGCATTAATGACATATAGAACCGCATTTTTGTTTTAGGCTGATGTCATTTCCACAACTAGAAAGTTAAAACATTTCATTTAGTATCTCCAAAGTTACACTGCTTACGTAGTTTTTCGCTATCTTTCCAACAACAAAAGGTAACTCTCTATCCCGTATGCCAAGTCTTTTATTTGGAAATGGAATGCAGAAAACAATGACTTGAACAGGAAAGCCTCGCTCATTTTAAAGACTTAAAATGTTCTAATTTTATATTCTTTATGACTACTGTATACGTTATTATGAGGTCATTGTCATCAGAAATGCAAGACAGAAGACCAAGAAACTCACAGTATGTAAAGGTGCAAGAGTGATTTTTCAACAGCTACATACAAAAATGAGTGACGAAACATTAGAAATCCCCAAACATGGTATTCTGGACTTTCAGAAGCTACTCTAGAAGAACCATAACTTGATCGTTTTGAAATGGCACAGAAGGGGAATCTGCTATATGCATTATTTATATCCGAAAAATTTTCACACACTTACATTTAACTATTATTATGAAATCGGAGTCCCAAATTAGTTTGCCTAATGGCAAAGAGGTCCTTCCAAACAAATCCGAAAGGGGTACAAGATGACTCCTTTCCATTGCCAGTAGCATGTAAGGAGGAATTCAGTATGAGAAAGACTATAGTTGGTGACAAAAGAAGTTAGGCACATTTCTGTATCTTTTTGAGACCCAAGTATTTATACATTCAGACTTCTGCCGTATCAGAACTGGATAAAATCCACTTCATAAGGTAGTTACAGACTATAGGAATAGATCTGTGTTCTTCAAGGTTATTGAATTAATATTTTCAATTCAATTAATCAATGACAAATTGAAGTTAAACAGCCTTGCACAAACAGCATGCAATTTAATAAAGAAACTTAAGAATCATTAGGGTTAATTTGTAAACTTACTGACCAAAGCAAAACTAGAATTGGAAACTAGAATTCTGCCTTTTAGATTTTTTTTAATTGCATTTTATTTGCTGCTGAAAGGAATGCACGCTCTATTTCACTTACTAAGAAACTTGCTTTTAAAAATCTAGAACCACAATTTCTAGATACAGCTGTGAAGTTTTAATTTTGGTGTAATAATTCAACCTGATTATTTTTACTAATTTGAAAGCAACAGATCAAAATACTCCCCTCATGAACTGTTTCCATGGAATATGGATTTTAAATTGTGAAAGGAAGATGCCTGTTCTTCACCAGGCTGTTTTCTCTGTATCCAGGTAGTTTGTTGAACCTGTATTGTATTTGAGCAAAATCATTCCACTTGAATGATGTGTGTTTCATCTTAAATAGGACGGGGCAGGGAGGGAGGGAAGGGGGAAAGACCAAGGAATTATTCCCTTTGAGACATGAGAGAACTGGCCTAGTAGGTCACTGGGGTACCACATGATGAAGAATTTAAGATGTAAGAGACTTTCCTAGCACATAACAATGATTTGCATTATATGAATACCTGCTATGCCAAGAAATCAGAAGGTTTGTCAACAATGCAGAAGGATTTATATAAACTTGGATACATATTGAAAGAAATCATGTTACAGTTTCTTCACATCTTCATTCAGTTTAAGACAACTGAAACCCTTCGCCATGTTGTCAGCTAAGAACGTGGCAAAATTTGAATTTTAACAACCCCATCTCTCTCATCCTGTATTTCCAACAATATTTTTTTTAAGCTATGAACTTAAATGCCCACATACAACTTACAACTTTAATCATGATTTCTAGAATTTCCATTATATCCATTATCAAATGAGAATGACTTGTAATTAGCATATAATCCACTATTATACAGTTTATTTTTGACAGCCTCCAGTTTGGCAATAATGCTCGATTCTGCTGTAACACACTGGCTTGTTTTTTCACTTTTCACAGCCTAGTGGCACGGTCACCACACTTCCGGTTAGTGAGTTGTCCTAAAACCCATAGATTTGGATATTAATTACAATGGTCGGGACACTCAGGTTTTCACCAAAGAGAAGTTTAAATGCAGGAAGTTTATTTAACGACATCTGGCAGACTGTGGACCTTGTGAGGACAAAAGAGGATCTTGAAATAGGAGGGTATCAAAACTAGATTTTGACAATATAGAAGATGTATTGTCCATGTAGTTCTGTCATAAGCTTTAAAAATACTCTCATTAAATAAGTTTTTCCTTCCTTAAGACCAGATAATACATGAAGCCAGTAAGAGTCCAGGGGTCAGAATCTTCTTCAATTCTTAGTTATTCTCTATGAGCTTTTTTTTTTGGCTTTTCTTCGTAAGATTCTCCATACTCATTCACTCTGCTCTTATCCACAGGATAAAGCCTGGAAGAAAAAACAAATGATTAGTTACAATACTGTCTGCTACCTGGAGGAATTAAGCAGTTCTGTGCTACTTAATTTTAAAAGTGAATTTCTTTCTCATCATATCCTCTATTCCCATTTGTGGCAAAAAATACAACAGTTTTAAAAGATTAGCTACAGATACATCAGCTTCTTCACGTTGAGACTTAACCAGTTGTCTCTAACAGGGCCTCTTAAGAGATGTATTAGCTCCCCTAAAGCTTGGCTGGAGTATTTCTTGAGCAATCCAGGATACCTCTCCAACTTGAAACCAGTGTCTAGCCCCTATCAGAAGTTGTTGAGCTCTTAACTTCTAGAAAAATACCTTGGAAGGGGCCCTATTTTACTACACTTATGTGCAATTATATAAACCTAAAACTGAAGTTCACATTTAGTATTAAGGATTAGACGTACACATCCATATATTCAGGTATAACGTGAACTAGGCTTAAAATTCTTGTTTGCTCCACATCTAAATATTTATTCTTGGGAACAAGAATACACTTTCTGTAGCTTCACTTATGAACAATATTTCAGTGATTACTGCATATAGCCTTCTTCCCCATCAGATTTTAGTTACTTAAAAGAATCTGAAACTTGCCAGATACCCAACCTACAAGAGAACCTGATAACTTGTGTTTGGAAACTAGATAAAGAGGAAAGCAGAGCAGGGCAACCCCTCATCGGAAAACATCCTTTGTTAGTGCCTTGCAGGCCACTTGGAAAGCATGCCTCAGATACTGAGCATATGTAGGCATGTAGCCCCTCAGCAAGGGTTAGAAGCCCAGAACTCCTAAGAGTGTTTGTGGATACAAGCTGTAGAATTGCTCTCCTTCACCTTACTTCAGGTATTCATGTTTCAGGTTCGGGTTTTTTTGTAACTTGCAAATGTGAAAGTATCTGCTGAAAAGGAGGACTGCTGTTTTGGGGAGGGAGAAGGGGTAATTGACAAAAATTCCAAGAGTGCTGTGAGAAGAGGAATTTCTTGACTACTCTCTTAGCATGCTAAAAAGGGTCCAGGAATACTGTCGGTTATGGGAAAGTGCTTTTGCTCCTCTTATTTGTACTGAGACGTCCTTTTCAGGATCCCCTGCTCAACATTCCCTTCACTAGGCATATGCACAACTACCATTATCCAGACCATACCATATATTACTATGGTATAAAAATTCTGCTTGAAGTCTATCCCGAACTTTTTCATAGTTCTTTATAGCAATAAGACTGCAACCATCTACAGCGTTGTAAAAATTCTGATGAATATAAAAAAAAGCCATACCATCTTTGGTAAAGATAGACCAGGAACACGACATCATCTCTAAAGCACGCCAGCCTATGAGACGTTGGCATAGTGATGATAAAAGCAAATATATCATCAATAAAGGTGTTGAATGCCTACAAATAAAAGTATACTTCAGTTGGCTGTGAAGAAAGGAAGTCATCTGTCATACAAAGACACAGGAAACAGGCTTTCTAGAACTGTCTTTTTCAGTAGGAACACAGACTACTTCCATATTTATAACAATACTTCAGGGTTATGCTGAAAAACTAATTAATGCAAACTTTAAAGTGCTTGCTTTTAATGAAGACCATGCTGTCTACTCCAGACCACACAATTATAGTTACAAGTAAAAAGGAAGTAGGACTACTTCAGGTAAGTGAGAGTATTGTCATGCGAGAGGAAAAACATGGATTCACCTTCAGTGAAATCTTTAAAGGAAACTGGCAAAAAACTTTTATTCATCCATTACTCTAATTATTTAAGATTTACAAAATGTCAGTTCACTTTAATTTTCTGTGGGAATTTGAAATTTGTGTAAAAACTTGTTAATTTACTGCTCTTAAGAACATCAACTTGACAGCCTTGGAGAGATTTTAAAATATTTTCAGTGCTCTCCTGGAAGTAATCATCCATTCCTTATCTGAGACGTAATTTTCTACACCATTTCCACTCAACTAGGCATACTATAGGTTCTGTTTCTGAAGCAATAATGAAATATTTTCTCACAACTTCTTCCTGAGTAAGAAAGTTTAAATTCCCAGACATCTGCTGGGAAAGCAAAGCAAACAGGCTCCAGGCATGCAAAGACAACAATATTTTGTCAGTGAAGGTAACGAAAGTAAAGGGCAGCTCCTCTGGATCTGGCTCTAGCCTACAAGGGGGACTAGAAATCAACTTTTACAGTGCACCAGCTCTAGTACTTTTCATATGGTGCAATAAACTGTTTCGACTCACTAAAAACAGCAGGAAACAAATCCAGCAAAGAATATTCACTGCTGGGTTAACAAACTGAGTCACTAACATGGCTTCTCCTTTCAATATTAGCAAGCTGTACACTAATCCATACCGTAAGAAGGCGGAAAATAATATATTCTCTAAGCAGAGAAGGACTCACTCTTCAAAATGAAGCAATATTTATATGATGGAACAAAGCATCAGCAGAAGATGGGGGTGTTGGACAGGAGAGAGTTCTGCTTAGTTACAACAGGAAAGCTCTTTCTGGCAAGTCAAAACAAATCCATCAATCTAAAGTGATCAAAGAATACAGACTGCACTTCTCAAGCCTGTGCAAAGGTTCCTCATGGAACAAAAAAAACTTGGCAAGTTGGGAAAGGCAGCCTTTCCAAGCCAACACCCAAGTGAGTGATCCTACAATGGTGAAAGAAGGAAAAAGCTAAATGCTCCATCCTTCAGGCACTTAGGCAGTCCTCGTAAGCCACTGAAACTGAATGCATCAAAGCAGCCCATCTAACAGTATTTAGTCTAGCTAGTTTTCTTTTGGGATTACCTCATTTGAAGGTACTCCTCATAAAAGAATAAAGAGCATAAAAGTAAAGACTACAGAAACCGGAAAGTTAGACTGATCTTCATTTTTGCCAAGGTCTTCCAAAACAGGGAAGAGTTCAAATTAAGGAAAAAAAACAAAGCTCTTTAAACCAACAATCACAGACGAGACCTCAGACTATTCTTTCCACTCTTCAGACTGCAGAAGAGAGCAAGCAATTTTAAATATCCGCTAGGAAAAAGTAAATTACCCCCTCCAAAGACCAGTAAGTTAAACATAATTGAAAACATCATATACTGCTTTCTACATACACACAAGCCTTTGTTGCGGGTAGCCTCTGGCATCTTAACAGGAACCATAAATGCTCTGTAAGAAAAGGCTATTCAGCAAGAGAATTCTACTGCTTTAAAGGTTACTTGCTTGAATACTGTCCCTTTGTTGTCTACTTAACTGCTGATGTCTCTGCTCAGTTATTGTATTTTGTTGCTGAAGTAAAATTGTGAAATTACTTCACTAATATACCTTTTACTCCTCTCCATTAAGAAACATGCTGATTTGCCTAGTATATGTCTGAAACACTAGATGCTTATTTTTATTTTTTGACTGTATTTCTATATCAAACACTGTTTAGTTGCTATTCTGCTATCAGCGATATTTCAATCTGTTTTCCTAGATGCTCCACGATTCCTTAAAAATATTAAGGCAGCAGAAAGTTGGGCTATTGCTGTCGGCTCACAGAAATGGGAAAGCTATGAAAGGCACTTCAAATTTTAAGATTTTAGTTCTTTTGTCCCAGATCATCTGTTCAGAATTGGACACCATGTCTTGAGCAGTTTTTAACACTGTTTCTTTTAAAGTATTCATGTTCTGGAGAACTGTAATACATCAGCACAAAGGAAGAATAAATGAAAGCATATATGAGTGGAAGCAGAAGAAAACGTGGCACATGTTGATGGCATCAAGATCTTGATGATCCCAGCACATCCATTTAGTGTTTCTCAGGACACAATGATCAGGAAAACAAATGACAGTACACAAATCCTAATGACTCGCAGAGCTGGGAAAGGATGGAGTCAAAATACTATCAGCTCTTTAGGGGTACAAGAACAAAACTAGCATGTAGCTGTCATTTGAGCAAGAACGTAGGAGACATAGGAACTTAACAGTGGGTGTCCCTTGTCCTCCATATCGGTACAAGGAATCCTTAACAGTGGGTGTCCCTTGTCCTCCATATCGGTACAAGGAATCCTGACCAGGGGGTGTCCCTTGTCCTCCATATCGGTACAAGGAATCCTGACCAGGATACTCAGGTACATCCATCTTGGTGCCTGAATACTACACAAACCACTCGGACACACACATGGGTGCTTGTGGGTATGCAGGTGTCAAAGAGTTAGTAAGTTTGCTTTGTTTTGAAATAAACTCACCTTCCCTTCCTCCAAGGTCTGGCGTTAGGCTTTGCTACAGCATTGCATTGTTTCCTACAAGGGCAGTCTAGGCAGCACAGTGCAGCCCCTTTTCCACTGTGTAACAACCCACCACACATTTGTCACTACACTGCCCAGAAGCTCAGAATTACCACCCCAGGACAGAACAGTGTGTACATTACTTCAGTCTCTGGTAGCTCCTGGAACCTGCCAAAATAAGGTCTCTTAGTGGTCCTATCTGTTTCTTGAGAACTATCCTTTGTTAATATAATCTCTCTCTTCCTAAAGCAATGTATTAAATTGAGACCGATTAGTTTATTTGCAGGACCAACACTTGCACCCATGCAAGACAATCGCGCTCTACAACTACCTGAAAGGAGGCTGTAGCGAGGTGGGTGTCGGTCTCTTCTCCCAAGTAACAAGCAATAGGATGAGAGGAAATGGCCTCAAGTTGTGCCAGGGGAGGTTTAGATTGGACATGAGGAAAAATTTCTTTACTGAAAGAGTGATTAAACATTGGAACAGGCTGCCCAGGGAAGTGGTTGAGTCCCCATCCCTGGAGGTATTTAAAAGACGTGTAGATGAGGCGCTTAGGGACATGGTTTAGTGGGCATGGTGGTGTTGGGTTGATGGTTGGACTCGATGATCTTAGAGGTCTTTTCCAACCTTAATGATTCTATGATTCTAAGACAGCTGACAGTAAAAAACCCCAATATTATAATCAAAACTAGGATGCAGGTGTTCTCATTATATGGAAGTCATTATAAAATATGGAAATAAATTTTTTTTTTTTTAAAGACATTTGCAAACAAATTTGGTTTTACTGTCAGTTTAGTACATAAAACAAACAAGCAAAGCACTGTCAGCCTTAAGCTACACAATACTAAGCTGTTTCTCACAGAAAGTTATTTCCAAAATGACTGCACCAATCTTTAAATTAGAGCTTTACTTACTTTGTATGTGAAAGCCTTCCACGGTAAGTGTGCAACAGATTTCATCTAGGATTAAAAATATCAATTTTTAATAAGTTCTGGAAGAAGAGACTAAAAAAGTAGTCTTTTATCACTTTTCAATCTTACCTTGTAGTTTACAAACAGCTGGGGCAGCATAAACAGGAATCCAAAAGCATACACTCCTGAAGATAAAAGATGGAAAACTTACAGACAAATGCACAATAGAAGTACACCATACAACTATACTTTCACAATTGGAGATTTACACTCATTTTCCTAAAGAGAGAAGATGCATCTAATCCTTTTGTTTCACTTTGGGTTGATTCTTCTCCCTTTCTCAATCACTGTGATAATTTTGGAACCTAAAGTCAAGTTATTCCTCTATATTGCACTTATCCAGCTGATAGCAGTTAATTTTCTACTTTTGAGTCTTGGCCCCCATTTGAAAAAATATGAATAGAAAAAAAACCACAAGAAGGGACTCACCATTAACAAAGCTGTTAATCAACCAGGAGTACCAGCTACAAACAAAGAAGACAGTCCAGTTATTTTTTGACCTCAGCCAAAAATATATACCGGTAAGATACAACTTCTACGTGACTGTATGCTGACTACCCCAAGAACTGGCTATGTTGTGAATTACTTTACACAAGAACTAAATACCTCGCATCTACCTTTGAGGTTGGAAGGGCTCCAGAGAAGGTGCTAAGAGTTTAAGCAAAGGATGTTTATCAGTGCATCCAACAAGTTTGGAGAGCTTTATCAACTGCTTTTATACTTTTTCAGAATGTTCTAAGACTTCTGCAGCCAAAATGACATCACATATTACTGCGCACTGAACCCTGACTGCATTAAGGCTTGCAAAGGTAACACTGTATTCTAAATACTAGAGAGACACTTAATATGGCACTGTAAGGACTTACCAAATTTCAAACAACAAATACCATTCAGTGCAAACCACTATAGTAGGCACTTAAAAAAAAAGGTAAGTACAAGGAATCTACATTTTTCCCTCCTTACATCTAAAAACCCCTCCCAGATGTTCAATGGAGCACAATCTTAGCTACGTAACAGTAGTGTTACAGATAGTGGTCAAATCCCACACTTCTGCTTGCGATAGTAAGAACAGCTAGTAATTGTGATGCTCAGGTTACATCATTTAAAACTAAACTTGCAAGGCTGTGTTAGTGACTTGTTAATAGCAACATTACAGCTGTAGCAGCATTTCACTAATCCACAAGCATCTAAAAAATGCATCAGTAAATGCCTGCAAGATTAAAGGATAATCCACTGTTAAGATTATTTGTAAGGAAATGTGATGGAACAAGTAGATTTAACAATGATAAAAATTCTCTGATATCAATTGTTTTCACTTTCTTAAGCTACAGCTCATAGAACACCTGGCATATAGTATTTTGCAGTACTGAATGAATTTAAGAATTTTGTGAGAAAAACAGAATTTTTAAATGCTGCATATTTGTTAGCTCCTTACTAAGACAAGAACCTTTTCAAAAACATTATTTTTCTAATAGCCCAGAAATTGCCCCAGTTTCTAGTACAAGTGCTATGGCCTATGTATGCAGCAACAGTAGCTCTTTCTGATGTTATTTTAAGCTACTGCTTGCTCTCCCTCCCATCCCTTCGGGGCCTAAAAACTATTAAAAATATGTTTACACAGCCATCACCACGCTCGCATTTGCAGATTTTTTTCTACAATGCAGTCTCATGGCTGCATACTTGCTTGCATCTCTCCAATACAAAATTAACTAGCTTTATTATTTTGAGTGAAAGCAGACAGGAGTTTCACCTTCTCATGAAATATTGAGTCTTCAGCTCTTGCTGTAGTATTGGTATGCTGCTGTAAGCCTGTGGCTCTAAAGGAATACAGTCCTTTCTTAAAAACGCTCTTGCTTACTTGCCATCCTAGCTATCATATTTGGGAACAGAGGAACCTCTTGGTCAGAGCAAATAATTTTGGGACAGTTTTTGCTTCTCTCTGTTATTGGACAGGTTTAACCACTGCTTTCCTCTCATCTCTCCTGTCACCTTATCAGTTCTCTAAACATCAGTGACAGCTTTCTTTCTCCTCTTTTGATTCACAGCTTACTTATATATGTAAGCTATTGAATTCTATACTACAGTAATATCAGGTTACTTGCTAAATACAACAGCCTGTAGCTTACAGGATGTTAAAAAAACAGCTAGACTTTTCATCTTTCGATCATAGAGAACAAGGAAGTTTCTGGTTCCTAGCTTATGAATCAAGCAAAATAAAGTAACTGATTTCCATAACCCATCATCTCCAATTAATTAATACGGGGAAAAATGGGGAATGTTCCAATTCCATATAAGATCGTTTATAGATTTACAGTACCTTTTGTATTTGACATTCAGCAAGGAGTAACCTGCACCTCCAATACACAGTGGATAGAGCAAATATGACAAGTATTTCATAGCCTAATAGACAATAAAAATAGTTTGTTAGCTTACATTTTACATACAGCAGATTTGTCATGGCATTAACTAGAAGACAGCCACATAATTTTTTCCTAAAAATCTTTTCCTATTTCCAAATGTCTACTATTATTTCCAGTATGCTTCCAATTCTATAAAAGGTGGTGAAAATTCCAATGCTCATTTCAGACCACCAAGGACCTTAGAGCATAAGCAACAAGAGGCAGCATGAAGATCAGAGTCTAAGAGTAGCTCTCTGCTTAACTTCCTGATTTCTTCAACTCCTTTCAGAAATCAGGAAGCACACGAACATTCCTCCAGTATAAATAAGTACAAACATGAATTTTCAAATTTGTGAATGAAGACCCTTTAAGATATTTCTCTTCAGATAAGTCACTTGCAATTCTGCTTCTCAGAGAAATGTTTCAACCAGATTCAGCTAACAAACAAGTCTTTCACTGTTTCTTTTCATAAATTATTAGAATGAATCTTCATTATCTGATCATCCACATAATGATGATCCACTTGACAAGTATGAGAAAATGGAAAATGCACTTGTAGCAATAAAGAGTGAAACAAGTCAATCAGCAGGCCACATATATAGACTTTATAGATCAGAAGTCACAGGATTCCCTCTTACCTGGGTATCATACTCCTCAGTTTTCTTTTCAGAGTCATTGTATGTACCAAACTGCAATACATATAAAATGTATAATCAAGTCAGAACTGGGGGAAAAAGCACTTGCTGTCTGTGCTGGTTTTGGCTGGGGTAGAGTTAATTTTCTTCATAGTAGCCAGTATGGGGCTGTGTTTTGGGTTTGTGCTGGAAACAGTGTTGATAACACAGGGATGTTTTCGTTACTGCTGAGCAGTGCTTGCACAGAGTCAAGGCCTT